AATAATAATAATAATCCTTGCATTTGATATAGCGCTTTTCACGTCGGGAGGACGTCCCAAAGCGCTTCACAGAACACACTGTAAAGTGAATTGACTGTATATTTGTGGGCGAACGCGGCAGCCAATTGCGCACAGCAATGTCCCACAAACAGTCGTGGATTGAAAAAGGATGTAGTATCCAATGGTGGAGTGGAGGGGATGAGGGACAAACAGGAGGCTGGACCAGAGTTTCAGCCGCGTGAGGGGTGAGGTAGTGCCGTAGTCTGGCGATGTTTCGGAGGTGATGGAAGGCGGTGCCAGTTGTGGCGCGGATATGAGGAAGAAAGGACAGCTCAGGGTCGAACAGAACCCCGAGGTTCCTGACGGCTTTGAGAGGTGGAGAGTGCAGCCTTGGATGCTGATGCTGTCAACGCCTGAGGTGCAGAGGCGCTGACGTGAGCCAATCAGGAGGGCCTCAGTTCTGTGCACGTTGAGCTGAAGAAAGTTGTCTCTCGTCCGGGCAGGCTGTCAGGACATCGGGGGTCGTGGAGTTGAGGGTAGAAGAGGAAAGGTAGTGTTGGGTGTCATAGTGAATTTATGGAATTCTCTACCCCAAAGGGCTGTAGATGCTTAGTCCTTGAACATATTCAAGAACTGAGTTGATAGATTTCTTGTGGATAAAGGGATTAAGGGATATGGGGATAAGGCGGATATGGGGATAAGGTGGAGTCAGAATAGATCAGCCATGATCTTATCGAATGGCGGGGCAGACCCGAGGGGCCGAATGGCCTAATCCTGCTCCTAATTCTTATGCTCTTATGTCTGACCAGCTGGGGTTTTATGTTTTCTACTTTCACAATACCTTTCACATACAGCATAGCACTTTACCGCAAGTCAGTTTAATAGCAAGTTTAACTCATAGAATCATCTTTTTTTAAAACACATTTAGTCCATGTCTTTGTCAGCTCTCTAAACTGTTTATCCCTCTCATCTCTTTCCCCCATTCCCTTTTATATTCCTTTTCAATTATGTGTGCCTTTTTAGAGATGGATTATGTCTTAGCGCCTTGGAACGGGCTCCTGACATGAAAGGTGCTATACAAATGGAATTTTGTATTGTATTAATAATTTCTTTAAAAATATCCCCTAACTTCTCCATTTTCTAGTTTTAACAATGATCTTAAATATATACCCTCTAATTACTGTGTAATAATCTCTCTCAATTTACCTACCAAATCCCTCATAGAATTGAGTCTATCTATCAGGACGCCTAACAACCTTTTCTGTTCCAGTCAAAACAGCTTCTCTCATCTCTGCTTTTATCTACTGGATGGTGCGAGCTGTTTGGTTGCGTTTGTGCTGTTGGCTGCAGTTGGCCCACGCTGTGGCTGGCACTGCTTCATTAGTCTCCAGGTCATTCCATCAATGTTTCTTATAGCTATGCTTTGGAGCTCTGGCCTTTGAGAGGCTGGAATGTGGAAGCACTGCTCTGCTACCACTTGAAGAGCATATGTGGCATGTGAAAATATTGCTGATATCCTCAGCTCATTTTAATATGCTAATCTACGCACGCATGCACACACACTATTTAAATACCACATATATACACACACACACTGTACACATATCACACATACCACACATATACACACACACAAACAGCTACCACATATACACACACACTGTACACATAGTATACATATACACATGTAAATAGCCTCCATATACACACGCTGAGTTAGGTGCCAGTGCTATTCAGAGCTATCTCATCACTCTTGTCCAGCTTGTGCTGGAGCCTGATCACTGGGAAAGCAAGCGACCTGCACAGTCTGGGCTGCCTTGGCACTGACACACGGCCCTTCTGCTCTTCACATGATGTCAATTCAATGCCTTTGGGCTTCAGAAATATTTGAAATATTGTGTCAAAAGATCTTGAAGTGCTTCACAAGTAATTACTGCCACGTGTACAAACTGGTCTTGTAAGTAAATAGCAGCCATGTTATGCATAGAAAGCTATCACAAATAGCCATAAGGTGAATGACCGAATGATCAGGAGAAGTTTTGGCCAGGACATGACTTTCTATTAGAGTTAAGGGATCTCTAAAGTCCATCTAAAGAAACACATATGGGACCTTGGTTTAGCATCTCATCAGAAGGATTTCCGACAATGAAGGGTTCTAGTGTTAGACCAGCCTGTGAACACAGTCCTGCTGCTTCAACTGGCAACCTTCTAACCTACTTCTACCAACTGAGCCAATTGGTATAATGGGTGCTTTATCAGCATACTGTAGCCATTACTGTACATGACAAGTATCTAAGATGACTTGCCAGAGAGAGACAATAGGTGAAAATCAGGAACCTCATGCTTCCTCCACTTTCCCTTGGTGATATGCGAGGTGGGGATATATTAATTTAATTTCACAGTTTAGCACTGAATACAGCCCCTTCTCTCTGAGACGGTACACAACAATGAGATCAGCAAGCTATTTGACTGGGATTTGGGGGTGAAGGAGAAAATCTGGACCCCAACTTACCCCCTGGACTCTAAGCAGCTTGGCATGTCTTTCTGACGTGAAAAGCGCTATACAAATGTGCACTGGAATTGTATTAACTGGACAGAAAGATAAGGGGGAGGTGGAAGCATTCCTTATTCTAACAGCCTCTGTGTAGAAAATATCTTCCATTCTCTCCTTATTCTGGTGATAATCCTCAATTTATGCTTTGATGTTACTGATTCCTGATTATGGAAATATTTACTCTAACAAAACCATTTGGAACTTTAAACGTCTACTAGATACTCTCTCTGCTCCAGGAATAACAGCTGCAGCTGAATATTTTTGGTGGGAAGGGGAGGGGAGGAGTAGGAAGGAAGGGAGGGGGAGGAAAAGAGAGAAGGATGTGATTTATAGAAAGTCGACTCGGAAACAATTTTTAGCCAGGGTTATGTGACATTAATGGAGACAATGCCTCGAGGGGTTATTCCTTATCCTGAAATTATTCTTTGGAAGAGATTTTGTTTTCTCAACAGACTCACTTGCAGAGCTCCTATTACACCACAAAGCAAAGTTGACTCCGTTCTGTGATGCCACCAAAATCAGGAGGAAGGTGTAAGGTGGAGCAGTACTGCTTCTTAAGTAGGGATGTGGGGGTTGTGTACTGATGACCAATGTCAAGCCATTTTCTAGTCCATTGACTCAAATCTTAATGTCTGCGTTGGTTTCTCTTGTAAAATCCACCAATTGAATGTCACAGCACAATTGAACATTTCAACCCATCAAAGTCTAGGCTGGTGTTTTTCCTCCACGTGTTATCCTGTTCACTAGGGGTTAAGAGTTATCAAGAGAGACTTGAGAAGATAGAAATGTGGAATTATCTGTCATAAACTGTTGTTGAGGAAGAGTCTAAATTATTTTAAAAGGGAAAGAGACAACTGCTTGAAAAAGAGGAATAATGTAGGATTAGGCAGTTAAATCAGGTGGCTTATGTGGAGAAAAATACCATTGTGGACTTGAAAGGCTGAATGGCCTGTTTCTTTACTGTAACATTCTGAGATTCTAGAAAATCAGATAAGTTTTCTACATGAACAAACCACATCCCTTACTTGGCCTTTCCTAAGGAAAAAAACAAGCAGTATTTGAAATTCTAATTACAGTGCAAAACGCTTAGATACAGTACTGTAACTTAGTGGTTAGAGCACTCGCCTCACAAGCAAGAGGACCTGGGTTTGATTCCCGGGCAGGGCAAAATCTTGGGAAGTTTCCTTATTCCATACGCCTGTTTACCTAGCAGGAAGTAAGTAGGGACCCGTTTGTTAGTCGATTGGTGGATTGCTTTTCCAGGGTTAATAATCGCTTAAATAAAATAATAATAATAAATTGTCACTCAATCCACAACTGTTTGTAGGAAACTGCTGTGCGCAATTGGCTACCGTGTTTCACCCACAAAATATACAGTCAATTCATGTTACAGTAGATTGTGTGAAGCTCTTTGAGATGTCTCGAAGACGTGATAAGGCGCTTCATCAAACGTTAGGATTATTATTATTATTATAAAATTCACTCAAACGTGACATCTTTTCTCACCATAAGCCATTTCTACCCCATAAGACGCCACACATCAGGGTCTAGTAATTCAAACCCATTCCAACTGTAGTCGGAGGCTGAACCAGGCTTGCAGCCCTACACTAGGAAACTGACCACTGTCAGGAGCCCTCTAAAGACCCTCATAGGAGCCCTCCCAAGGCGCGCACAAGGCACTAACCTTGCCTATGACTGCAGATGCCTCGCTTTGATTTCAGTGCTTTTGACAAGTATTCTTTACAGAGTATGAATTAGGATTCACTCAGTTTTGCTGGTAATTGGTACCAGTTCATCATTGTGCAGAGATAAATAAAAAGCCAGCAAGCACACCCCCGCACCGCACAATCCTCCGTGTGCCATTCAATCAACCTCCCTAAAAAATCTCATTACGCCTGGTAAGCCTCCTTCTCAGTAAGAGATCAATAAGCAAGTGACCTTCTTTCTACTGGAGCTAGCGTTCTGCCTCCTCAGCCCCTACGCACACTGCTGTTGGTAGCAGTCAGTGTGTGGGAGCAAACACATAACGGCCACAAGAATCAGGCCAGCAACAGAACAGAAGCAAACAGTTTCAGTGGCACTGTCAAGCTAACAACTTTGTAAATCACATTCATTTCCATTCTCAGCTACCTGGGTCACACAGCATAAACAGTTACCACTGCTCAATGCGTCACTTCAATACACAATGTAATACAACCTAACTTCTGGTTACTGCTGGAGAAGAGAGTGGAATCAAATTTTCACTGACAATCCTCCAGATAAATTGGTCATTCATTTTGAGTTTGCGTGACAAAATGGCTGCAAAGTTTGCCTGCAAATACGGTTAACATTCTTGATAGCAGTTCTTTGTGAAGCCCTTTGATAGATTTATTATTGTAAGTGATATTGATATGAGACAGCAATTACTACATTATACTAACTATATTTTTTCTCTTTATCTTTTAAGGTGAAGGCAGGGAAAGGATCAAGGGAGAGACTGGGAAAATGGAGGCACAGAGACTGAAGTGATTAATGATGGATGGAGAGGGTAGGGAACAAACACTTCGTGTTAAAAAACAGCAGAGGTCTTGAGTAGGAGGATAAATTATAAAAATAAAAGAAATTACTGTCTCTCCTTGAAATACTTTCCTGAGCTTTCTCGTACATTCCTTGTTCCTCTCTTGCACAAGCAGAAAAGGACATGGTGAATGGATTCAGCAATCCACCTCCTCTAATTAGCTGCATTACCATTAAACACAGGCAGGATTGGGAGGAGAGGCGCATCAAGCAATGACCTCGAATGAACAGCTCGAACAATATGGAAAGTAAAGACCGAAATTCAGACGTTTATCATCTTAATCTACTGAAAGTGACACTTAATTAGCTCCTACATTTTCAGGATCTATTTAATATTTTAGCCACAGGAGTTTTAGTTAAGATGGATTCCTGGTGTCATTTTAAATGAGACTAATCCTGGTGAAAGCATAATATGATTTTGTCCCAACATTTGTCACGAATAGTTAACTTAAAGAACTGAAAATTTCTAGGATCATCAGTATTGAAAATCCTGTTGGTTTCGGCTACTTCCCAGTGAATCAAGTTTTTAAACTTTTGTAATAACGATCTTTGGATTTGATTGCGTTTATAATGTCAATACATCTCAAAGCGCTTCACAGATAATTGATAGAATGACTGTACGGCAACGTGTACCAGCAAGGTCCCACAAACAGCCTAAGGTGAATGGTGAATTTACATGGAGGATTGTTGACTAGGAAGGAGGAAAGAGAGAGGGCACAAGTAAGCCACACATGATTTTGCCTACTCACAAGCAAGCTATTACAGAGTGCGTTCAGCTTGCCTTTTTAACCCCTGCCGTAGCTAAGGAAGACGGAGGAAATGACTTGTATAGCCTTTCACTATCCTAAATATTTCTAAGCTCTTCACAAAATTGAGACAGATCAGCAAATAGAGAGGGAAGAAGAACATTTAAAATTTTAGAATGTTGAATAAAAAGCACCTTTTAAGAAGATTTACGATGGGGAGGGGTTAAAGCAAAGGGAGCAAGAGGTCCAGAGCATAGAGGCAGATTGACTTAAGGCTCAGACCTTCCCACTGTTGGGACGGAAGCAATGAATTAGTATTACTAAGTATATCATAGTCAGCAGAGCAGAGGACATCGACGGGAAAATGGAGCTAAAGGAAATGGCAGCAGTTGGGAGAGATTTGAACATCAGGACAATAATCCCAAAGTCACTGGGCACCTTGGAAACCAGTGAAACTTGTGTTAAGGGGCATGTGGAATCAAATGCAGGTGGTGATAATTTTGTTTAGATTAATTTGAGTTGATGGAGGAATGAAGTCTTTAAATAGTGGGAATAATCAGAATAATTTCACAATCTTAAACTTCTCTTCTTTTCTCAATTTGTTTTCTTCCCTCTTTTCGTGAATACACTTAGGTTCCACATTTCCTTCATTCTCACTCCTACCATGTCTGCTACTTGAATCATTCCTTCACTGGTGAGCCAAAACATTGAGTCTCAGCCAGGGTATTTGTCCATGAGGCAGAAACTTCACAACTAAGACTAAGATTAATGCCAGCCAATGCCCACACCTGTTTACCTTCCAGTGGGTACATATAGCGATATAGTGATCAGAATCAGAAACAATGCTTGAAGTTGATTAAAGGACCCCAAATGCTACCTCAGCTGAGATCAACTACCAACACAAAATTTGGGAAACTCTTAAATTACGTCTTAATTTTGAATTTTGCACATTTCATTATAAAGACCCATCTTCCAGATTAAGCAGGAATTTAAAATGTTTCAAAATTTCTGTACACATATTTTAATACCAATGGTCTCAAGGATTGGATCTTGGATTGAGAGATGTCAGACCTGACATGAACAGGACTATAATGGACTGGAAGGATTTTTGCTTTCAAAAGTAGTTTAGAAAACACTAATTATTTTCTATCGACAATTGTGTCTGAAAACCAAGCTGAAAGGAAAACACTAACAAGTTAATGAAGAAGGCAATTTCCTGCAGCAGGGAAGAAAAAAGGCTTTTGAGGAAGGAGATGAAAATAAAATTTCCTCCCTGTAACATTCTTCAGTAATGGGAAGAAGGAAGAGGAACAATCCGCTATCAAGCTAATAAAGATTCTATAAAATCTTTTAACAATTTCTCCCACTGTGCTGACCAATAATCCTCCAGATAATTTAGGCATTCCAACTGGAAAGGAAGGGGAGATTACCGAAGGCAAGGACGAAGAGGAAAGTCTTTAGATATGATTTGAACCAAGGATGAGCAAAGAGGGGTACAGACAAAGGGATTGAGGCAAGGCGTTTGGGGCACAGTAACTCAGCTTTCAGGCATTATTCCCCAATTCTACAGAACTCTATTGCTTTATTTGGTGCCTTAAGAACACTTACAAATGTATCTCTCTGACCGTGCCTTTGGTCAACAACTCCCCATCACCTTTGAGAAGAGTTTCAAGCATAGAAAAATTTGTTTCACTGTTTCACCTCAAGAATCAACAACAACAACAAAATTGCATTTGTAAAGCGCATTTCACTCCCAAGTTGCTGGACAGATAGAGTTATGGACCCGAGCTGGGGATCAGGGTGGGGGAGGGTGGAGGGTGGGAGGAAGCAGGGAGATCAAAAGCATGGACAAAGAGGGTCTTAGGATGGATCCTGAAGGTGGTGAGGGAGGGGGTGAGATGGAGGGACTGCGGGATGGAGTTCCAGAGGGTGGGGACAGAGTGGCAGAAGGCCTGCTCGCCAATAGTGGGGCGAGCCAGACGTGGGACATTAAGCAGGCCAGAGCCCGCTGAGCGGAGGGAGCGAACAGGATGGTAAAGGGTTAGGAGGTTGGAGAGGTAGGGGGAAGCAAGAACGTGGAGGCCTTTGAAGGTGAGGATCAGGATCTTGAACTGTATCCTCTGTGTGATGGGAAGCCAGTGGAGTTGGGAAAGGATGGGGGTGATAGGGTCGCGGAGCCTAGTGTGGGAAAGGACATGGGCTGCAGAATTCTGGATGATCTGCAGCCTGTGGAGGGAGGAGTTGAGGTGGCCGACGAGCAACGAGTTTGCATAGTCGAGCCTCGATGTAATGAAGGCATGTATGAGGGTTTCGGTGGCCTGCGGTGTGAGACAGTGTCGGAGTTGGGCGATGTTGCGGAGGTGGGGGAAGGCAGAGTGGGTCATGGCACGGATGTGGGGTAGAAAGGATAGTTGAGGGTCCAACAAGACCCCAAGGATCCAGACTGGCTTAGCAAGGTGGAGTGTGCAACCTTGGATGGTGATGGTATCAGCGCCTGAAGTGAGGAGGCGCTGATGGGAGCCAATCAGTAGAGCCTCGGTCTTGTTGACGTTCAACTGAAGAAAATTAGCTCTCATCCAGGACTTGATGTCTGACAGCGCAGCAGTGGTCCTGGAGTCAAGGGTGGAGGGCAGAGAGATAGAATTGGGTGTCGTCCGCATACATGTGGAGGTTGACCCCATGTCTTCAGATGATGTCACCAAGAGGGAGCATATAGATATTGAAGAGGAGGGGACCAAGGACAGGGCCCTGAGGAACGCAGCACGAGACAGTCTGGGGGATAGAGAAGAAGCCATTTGAGGAGAGGAAAGTGCAGCCGGTGTGAGAGGTACAATCTGAACCAGTCAAGGACAGCGCCGTGGAGGTTGAGGTGAGAGGAGAGGCGATGGATGAGGATAGAGTGGTTGACGGTGTCGAAAGCAGCAGAGAGGTCAAGAAGGACGAGGAGGCAGAGGGAGCCCTGGTCGCAGATGGACAGAATGTCATTTGTCACTTTGACCTTTGACTCTGCAGCTCGTGTACTGTCCCGCACCAGGCTTCGGGACCACATCACTCCCACCCTCGCTCGCCTCCACTGGCTCCCCATCCCCCAGAGGATCAATTTCAGGATCCTCATCCTCACCTACAAGGCCATTTACGGCCTCGCTCCCTCCCCACCTCTCCGACCTACTATCCCCTACCTACCTGCCCGTACCCTCCGTTCCTCTGGCTCCGGTCTGCTCCATATCCCCCGCCCCAACTGCCCTACCATCGGTGGCCAGGCCTTCAGCCTCTCAGCTCCTAGGCTCTGGAACTCCATCCCCCAGTGCCTTCGCCGCCTCCTCCCTTTCCTCCTTCAAGGCCGGTCTCAAGACCTTTCTCTTTGACTGTGCTTTCAGCTCCCCTCTCGACTCTCTACCCCCTCCTCGCTCGCTCCCTCCCTTCCCTCCCCTCACCCTGACCATTTCCCCCTTGCTCAGGTCCTGACCCAACTGTACAGCGCCTTGGGACGTCCTCCCGACGTGAAAGGCACTCTATAAATGGAATCTTGTTGTTGTTGTTGTTGTTTCTGTGCTGTGGGCGGCAGGGAAACCTTGGAGAGGTTCAAGAAGGGAGTGACAGGAGAGGAAGGAGTGAAGCTGAGAAGCAACAACTCGTTCCATGATCTTGGAGAGGAAGGGGAGGTTGGAGATGGGAGATAATTAGGGAGTAGAGAAGGGTCCAGGGAGGGTATTTTAAGGATAGGAGTGATGACAGCCACAGCGGTTTTTAATGTGGTGGGAACAGTACCAGAGGACAGGGAGACGTTTACGATGTCAGTGAGTAGAGGGGCAAGGAAGTGGAGCTGGGAGGTAAGGAGAGGGGTGTAGGGATGGGGTCGAGGGAACAGGTGGTAGGTTTCATATGGGTTATGGTGGTGTTGAGAGAGGAGGGGGAGACAGATTTAAAGGTGTGGAGGGATAAGCAGGGGCCGGGGTCGGAGGAGGATATGGGGAGGGGGTAGCAGATGCAGTGGAAGAGGCAGCTGAGCTTATTCCCTCGACTTTGGATTTGAGGAAGTCCAGCATCACCTCGCAGTTGGCATTTGAGGTGAGGATGGGTGAGGTATGAGAGGGTGGGCGGAGGAGTTGGTTTGTGATGGACAAGAGAAGACTGGGGTTGTCCTTAGCCTCCAAGATTATCTTGGAGTAGAACGACGATTTAGCGGAGCGTTAGGATTTGACATGGTCCAGCCAGATCTGCCGATGGACAGTAAGGTTTGATTTAAGCCAGGTGCGCTCAGCGGAATGCGG